ATTTAATATATAATTTAATCAGTGTATAATTATTTATTATTAATTCAGTTAGAATGATTGGAGCTAGGGGTGGGCGATATGATCAAAATTTTATATCACGGTATTTTCAAGATGTTCACCGGTTTCACGGTATTTTTCTTTTCATCACAGCTCAGCTGATAATAAAATGTACAAACCCTGCTCATTCATGTCAGCTTGTACAGATTGTCCGTAAGTTATAAGGATTTTACGTCATTTTGCAGGTGTACGGGCGTATAGAACAATCTCACGGATCTTTTCAAGTCTTACAGATTTTTTCAAAACCTGATTTTCAAATTTATCTAACATGTCAGAGCCTGTAGGATGATTAAAAAAACAATAAACAACATAAGACAGCCATCTTTTAGCCTGTTCTGCCGCTAGAAATAAGTTTTGAACTTTTTCTGCTCTCCTCTCCTCCTGCTGCTCAGCGGGCGCTTTCATGACCGCAGCCGACAGACCCCACCCCCGACCCCCCGCGCGAGTTGTACGGATTTTTGAGGCTTTTTATAAAAGTAAACGTCCGAAGAGGTTGACATGTATGCCTGCTTATTGAGTTTTTTCTTTTACTGTACCTCTGTCTGTGTCTCTGTTTCCCTCCTCTGTGTCTGTTCTTCTCTGACTGGTGGTTGGAGACAGTAGTCATGCATTTTGGTCCAGTCGTGAAGGAGGAGGGTTAAGAAAAGATTATGATCGGGTCTATTTTATGTTATTTATTAAAGCTTATCAGCACGACTCACCTTGCACATCAGTCAATTCTAAATCCACTACGAACTACTTCCTGCAGGCTTTTCACAATAGAACCACGTTAAGTCTCCATCAGCATAACGTCTCCATATTAACTAACCACGTTAAATCTAACTGTGCACGTCACTGAAGAGGTGTTTACTACATTCAGCGATGGTGAAAATGGGATGTTTTTTTAAACGTCAGTCAATACAAGCAGAGGAATCGCCACCCGCGGCTGCAACTAGCTGCTCCAAACATTAGCATGCTAACACACATAGCGGTGCAGCAAGGAAAAATGTCCCCRGGGAAACAACAGTTCACTGGCGGCCGCGAAGAAACGTTCCGCTATTTAAACCGGAATGTCCGGTATTCAAAAAATTCATATCATAACAAAAATAAAAACCGGTATTCGGTACAAAACGGTATACCGCCCAGCACTAATTGGAGCACTCGTAAACTACACAAGATATGGGCATTTTTTCAGATAGCAGATCCTCCACTTTTTCACTTCCTGACCTCCAGCCAAATTTCGCGCTCTCGTGGCACTGCATCGTGACGTCACGTGAAACCCTCCTACTGAGCTTATAACATTCATCTGTTCCTGGTTACACCTCTGGAGGTGTTACCTTTCATGTCAGACGTCAGAACGTCACTCATTTTTGTTTAGACTAAAGAAAAAACACATGATAAGACACACACCAACTCTTTGTCTGTTTTAACTTAAAGACTGAAATGATCAGAAAGTATAAAATACAAAACTGCATCTAATACTCAATCAGTTAGAAATTTCCTTCAGAATGATTGATGTGTTTGTGAAATCTTACGTTTTCTGACAAAGATGACATAAAAAAGCACAAATAGAAGCACCGGAATCAGAACTATTCCAAATATTCCAATGATTGGGCCAGGACCGAGACCATCTACAAAAGAAACAAAAAAAAAAAAAGAAGAGTTAAGCCATTTAAACCGCTCCTTATGCTTTCTGACTGAAACATAAAACAGATATTTAACAAATATCAACAGGTGGAGTGACTCACTATTGCAGGAAGGGTTACCAACAGCTTCACTGGACTGCTTGCTGACAGGATTGATCAACTCACAGACAAATGAACAATTTTTATTTCCCTAAAAATCATGTGGAGAAAAAAAATTAGCAACAATCCCTAAAACTAAACTCAAAATTTCTATCTTCTCTTTGTCTCAGTTACAAACACCAGAGACTCTACAGCAGGGCTATTCAACTGGTGGCTCACGGGCCACATCTGGCCCACAAGTGACCAAAGTTTGGCCCGCCAATTGGTTCATTCATCTCTTCAGTCCAAACCCCCCAGTTTCTACTTTAATTACTCAAAGTTATTTTAGTTAAACATAGACATGTTTGGTTTCTACAGAAACGTCAGAATCTTGGCTACAAGCTGGTAAAAACTAGGGGTGTCCCGATCCGATATCGATATCGGATATCGGTCCGATATCGATATCGATATCGGATATCGGTCCGATATCAGCCAAAAAACGAGTATCGGATTTTATCGGACTGCATAAAAAATGTCCGATATCAGCGCTCCGATATTAGCAGTCCGTTCCAGCAGTTCACTGACTCCACTCCAGTGTTTCTATCCAGCAGCGCTTGGATCCAGCATGCAGCGCTCACGTGATCACAACAACATGCAGCGCTAACAAGTTAGCAAGAAGGTCGGCAGCAGAACTTTCTATTTTCATCAGAAACAGAGTTGCAGCTAAGTGTAAAGTTGTCACGCACAAGTTTTCCGAGGGGGAACAGAACCGTGAACGTTTTAAACCGGAGCGAACACTACTCTCCACCCTGGCAGCAGCTTTGCGGTTCGGCTCGGTTCAGCCTCGGTCCAGTGACCGCACACAGCCGCGCTGTTTCGGAACCTCCTCTCTGGTCCGGTCGGTGATTCTAAGCGGGCAGAAGCGAGGACAGCACGCTTGTTTTGACATCCCGTGGATTAGCTCTTGATGGACAGAAGAAAGGAGAGCGCAGCTTTTGTTTTGGAATATGAGCGCGACATGACGAGAGCAGAGATAAAAACTGCTCCCTGCAGGAGAGAGAGGCTGATCTCCACATGATGCTCAGACTATAGAAAGTGGAAATTTAGCACTAAGAAAGGTAGCTATCAATTTAAATAACTAATTCTTACTATTTATTTTTTGCTCTTGTTATTAGAGTGATGTTTAAWCTGTTTACACACTTGTTTGAGTGAAGATTAAGTGCAATGATCACGTTGTTTTGGTTACAGTCAGTATTGGAGCTGTGGACTCTTAACTTTGAACAGACAATAATGTGGGCTTTTGTTTTGTCCCCACCTTCAGTTTTTTCCACCATAAAGCAGCACAAGGCTGACAGATGGTAAAAAAAAATAACTGGAGTGATTTTGAATTATTTTACACTGTAAAAGTACATTTTGTTTTTATTATGTTATTTTTTCAGGGTATTGTAATTTATTGTATTTATTAAATTGTATAATGTTCTTCAGTTTAAAATGTATGTGATCCATTGGTTAAAAATAAATGGGTCAGTTTTTCTCATACCTACTCTTTTTCACTGTTTGATCTGATCAAGATTTTTCTAAGATTTTACATTACAAAATAGGTAAAAGTGTGTGACTTGCACTGTTACAGTAACGGGTCAATATCGGTATCGGTCAATATCGGTATCGGACATTTCTCAAAGTTGTAATATCGGTATCGTATCGGAAGTGAAAAAGTGGTATCGGGACATCCCTAGTAAAAACCATTTCTATTAACACTCAAGACAGTTAAAACTACAAGCAGTTGAAGATAAAACTATGAAAGTGAAAAAAATTAGGTTTAAAAATTTGACAAGTCAGAGATGTCAAAATATTATTTATGTTAAATAGGAGGCAGAATGTGTTCTTTTTGTTTTTGATATTGTTTAATTATCACTACTTTTATTGGGTTCTGTATGTTGTATTCATGACTAAATGCAGCAAAATAAACTAATTCAATGGTAACATATCTTTGTAATACTTGATTTAATTATATAATGACCTTAGTTGCTGGATGTTCGGCCCCTATGCTGTTGACCTGCAGTAACTGTGGCCCTCTGAGCAATTTAGTTGAATAGCCCTGGTATAGATGGTAACGTTACTGGGTCAATACTTTACTACCAGCACCTCCTATCCTTAAAAAAACTTCAGTATCAGAAAATTCATAGCAAATTATTCTGATATTCAATTCAAAAATACTTTATTGATCCCAGAGAGAAATTAAATATAACTGATAATTAGGTTGATATTTAAACCTCTATACCACTGTCAAGTTCACATTACATGGTTCTTTTAGGAGAAGTATTCAATATCTACACATCAGTGTTTCTGGCAAATAACCACTGAACTCTATTAAAATAGATTGGTGGTAGTGTTCATGGGTATAAAATAGTATTTGTGATGTCTGCTGTGAGATTTTGCAGAATAAGAGAGATGGGTCAGATTTAAACTCTGTTTCTCCAAACTACAGTTGCTCAAAGAGCAACAACAGGTAAGGTAATAATATAACTTTTCCCACGTCCAACTGTCTGAACTAATCCTTGAAATGTTTCCACAGACTGAAGTCAATCCTCAGGAAAGAATAGCTCACAGGACATTTTGGAATTTGATTCATTCTTATACCTGGACAATTCGCACTTTAGGACCAGGCTGTTCAACATCATCAATTCTCCACTTGAGTTCCACCGGTTGTGCGTTTTCAGGGGCTTTGTAGTCACAGGTGAAGACATGGGAGTTTTCAGTTTCTCCATCTGTTCTTGTCAAAGTGGGCTTTGGAACTGGATCTGACAGAAACAAACAAACAAACAAAATCATAATAATAAAAACAAACAAACACAAACATCAATTTGACCCAAACACAATGAAAAAAATCAGATAATTTAAATCTTTTTGGCTCACCAAAGATCTTGACTTGCTGTGAGCTGACAATTAGGTTGTTGATCTCAGCGGTGTACGTGCCATTGAGCTCTCGAGTCAGATTTCTGATGGTCAAAGCTCCATTTGTCGTATCCAAAGTAGTGCGATCTAGAAGAACAGTTGAAATGACTTTTACAAGAATATTAATGAAGAAATCATCCAGAAACATACAGTTATCACAAAAAACAAGGAGTTTCTGGTTTTCAGTTGAAATTTCAGGATGAACCTAAAGTGCAGAATAACCTTCACCACCAGGTGAACTTAATGTTAGCTCTTCGATGTTTCAATACTTTTTACACAACTAACAGACATTTTCTGGTTCAATAAAATTCTTTCATTCTCATCATACTGTTCACATTTTCACATCATGAGATCAAGATGATCCATAACTGATCACCAGAACCTCACCAAATAGTATTTCTAACTTTTTGTGAGTAATGTATATTGCTTATAGCTGCTTCAACGCAGCATTTATTGTCTAAAAGCATGAATGAAAATATACAAACAGACAGCTTCAAAATGAAAAACTTTTTTTGTTAAAATCCAGTGTGTCATTTAGAGAAATTACAGAAATGGAGGATTATGTTTTTACATGGCATCTTTGCAGCATATGTTTACATTTAAAGGAATAGTTCAGACATTTTGAATCAAGGTTTAACTGTTTACACATTTAAAGCTGGGTTCCGACCAAAACGCATTTTGAGCAGCCAAAGCAGCCAGTTTACATGCAAAGTCTTTGGTGGACTCGCATCTAGGAGCAGCACGTAGCGGCGCATTTTGCCAGTTTAGAGCAGTGCGCAAGGTAGCGCTAGGATGCGGCAGAGCATTTTCCGTGCATGCGGCACGTCCGAAGCAGCCACCGCTCGAGTTCAACAAATTGAACTTTGGCTGCTTGACACACAGCAGCAACCAATCGGGAGAGAATATTTTTTCCATGTGACGGTTTCCTGAACCTGACACAGACGGACAGGAGCCTTTAGTTGAAATCGACCGTCTGCAGTTAGTGTTCTGGCTGGAGACACCAGCTCCAATGTGATGGGACAACAGCTCGCTGAGCTAGGGGAGGGAGGGAGGGAGGGAGGCGCGCGCGCACACACACACACACACACACACACACAC